TAATTTCTATTATTTATGTATACATTATGAAGACGTCCTGGAGCTCCGAACGAGTGTTTTGTGCAGATTACTTTTGCAAACACAAAAAGACTATACCAAAGCAGCGGAATTTTCGAAGTGTCGGCGAGTTGGACCTAAACTCGTTGAAGCAAATTCTTTCGCCTGACTGTTCCACCAAAGTGAGTGCGACGGACTACCTGTGCTACCATTGCTTCATGCACATCACTAAGGAGATCTCGATGCGAAGCTCAGAGCAGTGCCCTGACATATTTGTGCCAGCTGAAGAAGCAACTGAAGATCTAAATCGCAGCATACTACCTACAGATGTGTCGCCGCTGAGACAACCAAGCGTCGTAAGAAGTCGGGACAGGCCTGCCTATGTCAAGAGAAAGCAGACAGAACTGGAGCAGGTTGCTGTCAAGAATATACGCTCAAGGCTACGTATTGCGTACGACAGGGACGCACCATCGGGGTCGTCCGAACCAACATGCTCCACATGCACTGAGTGGGTGGACAACTTTCGGCAGACCTTTGAAACCGCCACCTCTCTCCGGGAACGTTGTCAACTGCTTACACTCCTGCCGTCAACACTGACGAAGAATGAGGTTCAAAAGATGATTCCACAGGCCTCAATGTACCTCATCAGTAAATCCCGAAAACTCAAGGAAAAGCATGGCGTGTGGTATGAGCCGGATCCTTACACGAGGTGCAAGGTGAGCCCTGAGAACCTGTCTGCTGCCCTAGAGTACTTCACGAAAGACGAGCTACAATGTTCGCGCCAAAGTCCCAACCAGAAGGACGTCATCTCTGTCATGCTCAACGGAGAGAAAACGTTCGTGCCAAAGCGCTTCATGACACGCTCAATACGAGAGGCCTTCCGTATATACAAAGACAAGCATCCCGATTCCGGCGTTGGGCTAACGAAATTTTATTCGTTGCACTCTAGATGGGTCCAATGTATTCCACACCAGGAAGTGTGCGTTTGTGTGCGCTGCGCCAATTATTATCTTTGTATTGCCGCTCTAGAGAACGTCACAGGCTCAACATTCAACACTGGTGAAATGAACTCGGCATTTCTGTGCGACCCAGCAACAGAACTGTGCCTTCAAGGAGACTGTGATCACTGCCCAAAAGGCCAGTTTCTTACACTCCAGGAACTTGATATCCCGGAGGATGAAGAGATTGTGCTTGCAACATGGGAGTCCGGCGACCTTGTGAAAAAAACTTTGGAACCTGAGACTTTCCTAAAAGTCATCCAAGTGACGGTTGGAAGTTGGGTACTTCACAACCATATCCGGCAAAGGCAAGGTAAAGCGATCTACGATGAAAAACAGTGCATGCAACGCGGGAGCATTGTCTTTCATTTTGACTTTGCTGAAAACTGGACCATCGTGCTTCCTGACGAAGTGCAAGCATATCACTGGAAAAAAAAACAAGTTTCGATATTTACATGTGTAGTGACGACAAGAAAATCTACAAACAGCTTTGCCATCATCAGTGAGGACCTGTGTCACGACGCCGCTCACGCTTGCTTGGCTCTAGAAAAAGTGAAGGAGTGGGTTGAAGACAACGTTGCGGTATACTCGTACGTGACGTACGTAAGTGACGGCGCCGCCAGTCATTTCAAGAATCGCTACCAGCTTCACCAATTTGCAAAGGACGATTGCCCACAAGCCCAGTGGTTATTTTCTGCATCTGGACATGGGAAAAATGCATGTGACGGAGTTGGCGGACTCGTGAAGCACCAGGCCACGCTGAACAACCCGAGAGAACGTTCAGTAAGTGCAATTCAGACGGCCAGGACAATGGTGAGCGTTCTATCAAAGAAACTGAAAGGCGTGCATCTTGTATATCTGGACAAAAATGAGGTTGTTCGGTATCGTGAACAAAAAAAAAAGAAGAGTGGCTGACGGTGCGCGCCTTCCCTGGCATTCAGTCTTGGCACGCGTGGCGGCTCAGCAAGTCATCAACAGAAGGGACCTGTGACGTATATGTAGCACGGACAGTCGGATCTGCTTGGAAGCAACTTTATTAAATGGGTACAGCGAGGAAAACCTTAGCGTAAAGTGCCGAATTTGATTTCCCAAGGACTGCTCATTTTGAATGCAGGGACATCTTATTTATCACATTTTTCTTCACGGGGTATTTAACCTACTGTTTTTGTTGGTGGTTACTAATAATTTTTATCTGATCACTATAAAAAAAAATCCCAAAATGTTATCCTCGAGCAGGATAAAATATATCGGCTTGCCACGATTCATTCATACACCAAGAGCATCGAAGCTGCTCCAGTTAGGCACTATGGCATCCGTCATCTGAAATTGTTTGTAATCGTAAATACACAGCCAACCTAAATATCTTACTATTATATCTTTGTTTTTGTGTGTGGAAGTAAAGTTATTTATTTTACTCTAGATGTAAAATATACCGGAAGGTACAACTTCACACTGCATCATCTTTTCTCAAATCATTAGTCTCTAATATGATACCACTTTGTACGCTTATGTAAAATGCTGTATATAGTTTCTCCTCCCTTTTACTGTGTCACCGATCGCTCTTTTTATCAATGACCTCATCTGAATAAATGTATATAAAAGATTTGTGCAAGTTTCATGAAACTGGAACTTAGAGTCACTTCTTGTATAGGACACTGCTAAGTGTAGGCTTTGAAAAAGGACCCTACTTTGGGGAGTTGTTTCTTCTTTCACAGTGCAATGATGCAACATGTTTTTAATAGAAATGAATGCCGAAATAGAGTATAACAGGGTACCCAAATTTAAAAAAAATCGAAGGTGGTGTTTCTTTTTTATTCGCATTGGAATTTTTATTTGTTTCATTTTTTTCCCATGTTTGCCTAACTATATTGTAACTATTGTGTCACTCAGATGCCTTATTTATTTTTTCAATAATAGCCATATATTAGTAAAATAATGTCTGCAAGTTATGTAATAATGATTAAATTATTTCATGAGATACAGATTTCCAAAGTTTGCCATTTGTCGTTCGAGCAGGCATGTTTGGCAATTTTTAGAAAACTAAACAAATTTTTAATAAATATTATTACTTTATATTACAAGCAAGTTGTACCCATAGTTTGTTTGTAAAAAGTTTTAAAATTCTCCTAATTTTATTGTTTTAATTATTCACTTTCAAACTTGCCCCCTCCATCAGTGCGCGTTATTGCAACTGTCCACCTCTCCCTGCCTTACGATTTTTCTTGTCTCCAAATTTTTTTTCTGGTCAAAACTAAGTGTGGATTCGTTTATACCAGACACTAGACAATGTCATATAAAAACATCAGTTGATTTAAAAATGTCGACCAGCCACCCTTTGGTCGATCTTATCTGAAATCACCCTTCTGATATTTTAAAAAAGAATAAAGTTTTGAACTTTGCTGCCGCCGCCTAGAAGCCACCCAGAGCAGGCTGCAGAAGGTGCTGGAAAGGCCACCGTCTGCTTCTTGGTCCTTATCTGGGAAGCGGCTTCACCACATCGCACGTGGAAAAATCGTCGTGGCACGACGATAGGGACGTCCAGAGCGCTAGTGACTAAGTTCCTGAGGAGATCATGGGGAGAGCCTAGATTTGAGAGAGGGAGCAGTTAGTACGCCTGCATTTGATAGACGCGTGGCCAGTATGGCGAGGAAACTGGGTGGAGAAGCGGACATGTGCGCAGAAGGTGAATGCTTTTGAGTTGACTCCTTGCATGCTGCAGCTCCTTTTGCAGACAGGGCCCACAAACCACGTGACCCCAATCGAGCAGTTGTCCCATCTCTTAAATCTAGGCTCTCTATACCGACGACAGACACGCTTGATCACGAACAGCGTGCTGTGCGCGCTTCTTTGTTTGCTTCGTGATCCGTGTCAGTGTCTGGTAGGTGAGGTCGCTCTGCGCGAAAGTCTATTTTGCTCAAGCATAGATTCAGCAAATCATTGCCACTCAACAATGCAGAGTCCCGGCACCTTGACGGGAAGACAATGGCAATCTCCTCGAATCAAAAGCGTGCCATCCTCGACGGAGTGCGCATAAACGTACGTCCTCCGTGGGGCCATCGCAGCTGTCGACACGGTCCGTATGTAGCAAAATCTTTTTTCAATCGGAGCTTCCCGCAGTTGCTAGAGGACACGTGTGGGGAACCCTTGACTGTTTTTTGTATTCTCAATAAACATGCGTCTGCGACGACCTGTTTTTTTTTTTGTTATTTGTATGAGCTTGTATATAATGGAGAAACACATATAGCGAAGTGATTTCCGATTCCCATTGACTTCGTTATAACCGGTCTCGACAGTAACACCTTTCCAACAGAATGTAAACATTTGGCCCATAAACTCCCAGGTCCCAATTCTGATCCTAGGTCAGAGCTTCCTCAGTTTCTGATTATCTCAGCTACCCACAGACGGTGGGAGGTCTTGCAGTGCCTCTCACCATCCCGTGCTTGCCCCGAGCGTATCCAGCGGTGGACACTGGAGTCTGTACAGCAGTGCAGTCGTGGCGCAGCGGTTATCACGCCGGGCGTCTATTGCCGCATTGCTTTTGTGTATCACAACTGTCAACGTGTTCTTTTCGTATGAATTCGCCCCCTACTAATGCCCTTAGGGTAAATGAATAAATACTGAGGTTTGCAACGCAAGTACCGGTTTGTCAATTTCTTCCAACTTGAAACAGCATATGATCACCATCTCTGCATGCTTGTAATACCACTTTGCCATGGCCACTTCTATTTGCTGTCTGCGAACAACACCTTGCGGTTGACAAACCCCTATGCATCGCTCATAATACCAAGTCACCTGCTAACAGCATCTTGGCTCACCTTGTCAGAGCCGAATTCGACCTCGCCCTCCGATGACGGAAGCGTGCAATTCGCTAACGAGTGTCGATGAAACGCTAGTGCCGACAACCAGAAACGACAGGGATTCGAGAGATTGCGCCGCCTGAGGCGGGTCTTCGTCGTTCCATTGCTTCAGTTCAGAGCAGTGACCGATCACCAAAGCGGTACGCACCTTGTAGCGGAGGGTGAGCGGCTCGATGTTCTCGAGCGGCCGGCCGTTCACCTTGAGCAGGCCGTTGCCACGCTTGCAGTAGGCGACAGCCGTGGCCGTTTTCTGCGGGAACAAGCGCGCGCATGAGCCGCAAACGTCATGGTGCACTGTCCAACAACCGCGCCGGCTATACCAGAGCCTCAGCGCAGAGGAACAGTCACCATTAACCCAGGCCCGAGTCGGCAACAGAACGAGAACCGCTCAAAACGTCGACAATTTCAGCGCTAGGACGGCTGCTTCAAACACCGGAGCAAGCTGGCGTCCACGTGTAGCCGTGCTAGGAAACTGCTTTTCTCTAGCCACGCCATTGAAACGCGATCATGCAGCGAAACGACGGCATTGAGAATAAAAAGTGAGTAGAAACCGCATTCTTCAAATGGCTATTCATTCTCAGAAACATCAGAACTCGCAGTCACTCGTGTTAAAAGAAAAAGTTTGCACGGCTAAGTTGCCGACAGTTAGGCCTAGCCACCTACCTTCCTACCGAAGACTTGAACAGACTGAATGGCTTCTTTAGCGGCGCTGAAAATTAATCGGAACAAAGGTTTAGACCTCCAACATTCCATGAGACGTGTTCTCGATGTTTGATGAGAAACGAGAAACTTACGCTGTCATTTTGATAATTGGGCACAACTGAACCTGCGCTAGTTCACAAGAGAACAGAAAAAGAGAGATCGGCGGCGTGAGCCGGAAACGCTGGGAAATCTCGTTCCGCGGGATTGAGCGGGATTTAACGTGGAGCGCCGGAAACGAAAGGCGGTGAGCTTTCGAAGCAGGATCTAGATTCGGTTCTGGTTTTGTGCGCATAGATAGGAATGGGCGCGTTAAAGGGGTAGTGAAACGAAATTTTAGCGCCGATCTTGTTGCATAAATATGGGCTAGGGACAGGCACCACGTCGGAAATATAAATATTGCGCTGTAAAACACAGGAGAACTAATTTTAAACATAATTAAACGATTTCAAATTTTCATCTGGTGGATGGGGGGAAGCTCTCGTGACATCACTTGTGCCAAAATAGCAGCGCCGTTCTGCGGCAATACGGCGTGCCGGCAGATTTCGCCTAGGCCTGAACGCGTTTGCAAAGCCTTGGCGGAGAAAGCCAAAGCATAGTTGACCACAGTGAGCTCGTTCTCGTTGCGGCTCTTTGAATGACACGGCCCGAGCATGCTTCTGGCACGGCCGGTATTAGTTGCTGCGAGTCGCGAGCTGCAAGCCGACGTTAAAAAGGATATGTTTGAACTACGAGGGTGTCAGCAAGAGCCACGCAAATGCCAAATACCTGTTCACACTCAGAGCGGACACGCGCGTTTGATCGAAGTGCTGGATTCGCTCTGTTAGACCGCGCTTCGGTAAGCGCTTCTGGACCGATCTTTTACGATTGCAACTCGATACTGACATGACACTCGGCAAAGAAAGGTTAGACCGACATCGCGTAGCTCGACACTGACGTAGCGTCGAGTCAGAATAAAAATGGCATACTAATAACAGAGTGTACATACCGAGTTGCCAAGGTAATCCGTATGGCGTTTATTTGAGCTCTATATCACACAAAACAAGGAGATAGAATCAATGAGAGTCCCTTTTCGACGACAGCGTTCGTCACCGCTGCCTCGGAAAACAAGGAGATCGAGATGACAAGGGGAAAATATTGACCTCTGAAATTTAGTTCAGGGATCAAACTACTCATCCGGTAATGGTCCACAAGGGTCGCGCGGGCATATTCCATTCAGCAGGCCAGCCGGTGATGGACAGACGGTCTTGGCCAAGGACCGCCGGAGCAACGATGCGCCGAGTCGATGTTGCTGCTAGGCCTACTATATTCTGCCGAGCTCGCTCGGTCGGCAGAATCGTGGCTGTTGTAGCCCTTCTCGTGTGTTTGTGGATCCTGCGTTCTTGATCGTCGTGGTCTGTTTTAAGTACTCCTTCCTTTTTTCTTGCTGGTTGAAGTCGGGACGCACGAGAAGAGCACGAAGAAAAATAAATGTCCGTTGGTGGCCGATACCAAGTAACTGAGCGACGCTGTCGGCCTTGTTGATTTGATCGTAAAAAGTGCGTAAGACAGCTTCGGAGCTGTCGTAGGATTCTGTCGTAACCTGCGCAAAGGTTACGACAATTTCGCTTCGAGAGCACGGGTTTTCTCTCAAATTTGTCGTACGCACTTTTTTCGTCGTGAATTCGCTTTGAGAATCCGGCCTCAGAGCTGGTTTTGTCAGTGCTGCCGTGGTTGCCGACTTGCCGTGGTCCCGTGGTGCAGCGCACAGTTTGGTGCAGCGTGCGTGCAGCCCTTGCACATCTCAAACGGCCACGTTGTCACAGGTTGGATGGATGGATAGATGAATACGGCTGAGCCCTTTGGATCGGGCGGTAGCTTACGCCACCTAGCCATTTTGTTTTACCATTTAAGCTTAGAATATTTAAATGTGAAATCTATATTCACTCCGCAGTGCAAAGAAAGTGAGGCTATGAAACCCCCTTGCCATCAGTGGATAAGAAAATACCTAGTTTTCTCTCGATTTCTGCCACCATTCACTTAATCTTTGCTTGGTAATCTCTACAGTCTTGAAATCCACTCTCCCTTCGCTGTCTCTAAAACCCAATGACTTTATTAAATCTATGTTGTCTTCGGTAGGCATAGGGTGAAGCCCTTTACAGTAGAGTATCAAGTGCTCAGCCGTCTCGTCCTCCTCTCCACAAGCAGTGCACACTGTATCAATTTCCTGGTACTTCACCCTGTATGTTCTGGTTCGCAGAACACCCGTTCTTGCCTCAAACAGCAATGAGCTTCCCCTAGAATTGTCATAAATGCTTTCTTTGGCAATAACTCTTTTGTTTAATCTATAGCTTTCCAGAGCCGTCTTTGTCTGCATTCCCTCTAGCCACCAATCTCTTTCTGTGGCCTTAACTTTCTTCTTAACTGAGACTTGCTCTTCCGTATCTTCGCTATAGCCCAAAAACTTTCCTCTTAATTTCCTAGTGCGCTGTCTCCACTTTGTGTCTACACTCCTCATGTATAAATAGCTGAAAACCTTTCGTGCCCATTGCTCCCCGTCCATTTGCCTCAACCTATCCTCAAATTCTACCTTGCTCACCGCTTCCCTGCTCTCAAATGATGCCCATCCCATGTCTCCTTGTACTCCCTGGTTTGGCGTTTTGCAATGTGCCCCCAAAGTCAGTCTACCTACTCCGCGCTGTTTTATTTCTAGTCTCGCATGCACTTCGGATTTCATGCACAGCACTGCGTTTCCAAAAGTCAAGCCAGGCACCATGACCCCTTTCCAAATCTCTCTCACCACCTCATACCTGTTGTAATTCCAAAGTGCTCTATTTTTCATTACAGCTGCATTTCTGTTGCCCTTACCTATTATATACTTTTCATGGTCTCTGAGATATTCTGCACCGTCACATATCCATACTCCTAGATACTTGTATTTACTAGCTCTCTCAACTGTAATATTCTGTATCTTCAGCCTCTCAACTTCATCCTCGTTAAAAATCATGACTGCCGATTTTTTGCTACTGAATTCTAAACCTAATTTCTCTCCTTCCCTACCACAGATGCTCATTAATTCCTGCAACTCTGTCCTGTTGTTAGCCATTAGTACAATATCATCCGCATACATCAATCCCGGTAAGGATTGCTGAATTTTTTGGCCTAGCTTACTGTAAGAAAGGTTGAACCCAAGCCCACTCTTCTCTAGTCTATCCTCCAATCCTCTCAGATACAACATAAACAGCAAAGGCGATAACGGGCACCCCTGCCTAAGGCCTCGTCTTATCTCTATTTTCCCTGTCGCCTTTCCTTCCCATGTTATAATCACCTTGTTATCTTTGTAAATGTTCCTTAATAGTGCTGTTAGTCCTTCATCTAGGTTTAAGTTCTCCATTATGTCCCACAGGTTTCTTTGGTTCACATTGTCATAGGCACCCTTGATATCCAGAAATGCCAGCCAGAGCTGTCTGTTTTCTTTTTGCGCTATTTCTATACACTGTGTTAGAGAAAATAAATTGTCCTCCAACCTTCTTTGTTTTCGAAACCCGTTCTGTAATTCGCCCAGTATGCCCTCGCAATCTACCCATTCCTCCAGTCTGTTCTTTATAATCTGCATTACCAACCTGTAAATAACCGGTGTCACGGTTATAGGACGATAATTCCTAATATCAGACTTATCTCCCTTTCCCTTATATATCATACTCATCCTACTAAGCCTCCATTCATCTGGAATATTTCCTTTTGTTATCATGGTACTCACTACCTCCCTTAGTTTTGCCTTAGATTTAGGACCCAAATTCTTCACCAGCTTGATAGGGATACCATCTGTGCCTGTCGACGTGCCACTAGGGACTCTTCGTTCCGCCTTTTCCCATTCTCTTTGTCCAAAATCCGCGATGTCACAAACTGGACTGCTACTTCCTTCGGTTCTCCTATCTTCCACATGTAACCGTTCCTGAAATTTCTCCTCCATCACTGCTCCTATATATTGTATCGCATCATCTCCCTCTAATTGATCGTTAACCGTCGACGCGCCACCAAGTGGCAACGCTCGTAACCACAACATTCACGCCGTAGCCTTTCCCGACCGGCACAAGTGACGTCACGAATGCGCCCAATATCCCAAGACGCATCGCGCTCTCCGATGGCCGATTTTTGAGCGCGCGCCCAATCGGGCCCATCAGGGTGAAAAATATAGCCATCCGTTCAAAATACAAATGCGCGATTATGATTTATGAATATCATTGATCATATTGAACCTATTTCTGACCATAATAGGTGTATTTCAAGTTTCGCTTCAGTATCCCTTTAAGTTAGTGAGCTCCGGACTCCGGACATCTGCGCTCGAGCGCGCGGGTTCGGAGAGTAGGTTAACGCATAGAGTTATTATAATGTACGCTAGAGGTTCAACTGGCGCTAGTGTCTATGCGACTTCCGGGAGGCAAATTGAAGCAGACAGCAACCAGTCTACTTTTGCGGTGCTCCTGTGCATTCCTATGGGAAAACGCGCGTGAATTTTGTCTCTTCGCCGGAAAATAACATGAATAACTTTTATTACTTCGGTTGTACCGGATAGTATGTACCTTTACTAATATTGTAAAAGTGTAATTGCTTTAATTACAGCATTTTTCTTTACTATTGAACGATGTTACGCTTTGCTATATTTCAGGCCCAAACCTCTGTTCCATGGCAGGTATGTAAAAACAAGCTACGCTTCTGAGCTAAATAACGATCGAAAGGAATGTAGAGTGTGTTCAAGGTTCGCTAGCATTCCGGTGGCGCTTATATATTGCTAATATGCCCGTCCTGTCATTCTATGAATATGACTCCGTCGTGCATCTTTACGATCGGTTAAAGACCATTCGAATGTAAAAAATAAAGTACGTGGGCTACGAAAGGTGTGTCTTTTTATTATTTCATATCTCAGGCAGTTTTTATCGGGCACCTGTTCTCTGACTTCTCCCTACTTGTAAAGATTTGAAGCGTGCGGTTGATGATTTGAACCCAGAACGATGCATCTTCGCACATTATCACGAGCAGAAAGAATAACTTATTTATTGCAAATCGAACTATATTACGTGGTTTTCAATTTATTTTTATCGCCTGCATGCACGAGGAGTTACTTATCCAGTGTTACTGCGTAGTTTTTGCCGTCTCTCTTGGTTTTCCACATGTCCTTCGTTCGTTTGACACGTATATCCCCCTTGGCGGAAAGCGCCGACGCCGTGTTCGCGCTAGCAGTGTCCGACAGTGCACACAAATACATGTACGAAACTGTTTTAGCACCGTTTTTCATTCCACGAATTTCAAATAAAAACGCCGTAACTGACCAATTATTTCATCTGTGTGACTGAG